GGGTCCTACCCCACCCCCTCTGGCTACTCTCTCCCCCGCCTCACACACCTCTGCCCCCCACCCCGGTACCATCCCACACGCCCCGCCCCCCATTCCTAGCCCCGCCCCCCAAGATTAGCCGGGCCCGGCGCTCACCGCCCCGCTCCTGAGCCGCCGCCGCCGCCCGGCCCCGCTGCCCTCCCCTGGGGGCCTCCCTGGCTCCATGTCTCTCGGCTCCAGGCCGCGCCGCCGCCGACCCGGCCCGGGCTCCGGCCCCGCCCCCTGGCCGCCAGGCCACGCCCTGCGCCCCGCCCCTTTGGGCGCGCGGCGGCTGAGCCCTACGTTGCGTGCTGACGCACAGGGTCTCCCGGGGCAGCCAATCAAAGTGCGACGGGAGGGGGCGGGCTTGCCTGTGAATAGCATAGCTGCTGCGGAGTGGTGGGGATTGGAACGCAGGGCCTCAGGGTGCAGCTCCACCGTGGGGACACTGAGCCTCCCGGTGCAGCTCCACCGTGGGGACACAGGGCCTCCTGATAAAAAGAACAGGGGCCTCCTGATGTAGCTCCACTATGGAGACACTGAGTCTCCCGGTGCAGCTCCACCGTGGGGACACAGGGCCTCCTGATGTAGCTCCACCATGGAGACACTGGGCCTCCCGGTGCAGCTCCACCGTGGGGACACAGGGCCTCTCGGTACAATTCTGCACTGGAGACACATGGTCCGTAGTGGGGACAGGGACCTCTCCCGGTGAAGCTCTGTACAGGGACCAAAGGGCCTTCTAGTACAGCTCCACCTTGGGGATGCAGGGCCTCCTGGTGCAGTGCCGCACTGGGGAAACTGAGGCAGAGAGCCCTGACTTGACCAAGAATGCCCAGCAGGGCAGTGGCGGAGCAGAAACTAGAACCCAGGTTGCCTGAGACCCAGCCCAACAGTGTTGCTTGGCCCTAGTGATCAATGGAGATTGATGAGAGGGGGAGTTCTTTAGGGAGGAGGTGACTGTAACCCCTTTTTGGCCACATCCCAATCACAGCCTAATCAGACCACATGGCGGCAGGACATTCCCTTAAAGCTCTACCCCCTTTCAGAAAAAATATTACCCAAGCCTCCTTGTGAACAGAAAGTCTGAAGTAACCAACAGAGCAGCATTTACCCCTAAGGGGTAGGAGGATGGACGTGGGTTAACTGCTGCCTGTCTTTGGGGAGCCCCACGTGAAGTGCCTTGGCCTGACTTTCAAAGGAACTGCATGCTCACTGTAGCTGCTGACTTCTATAGTAGAGAGACAAGGTGGGTGAGTCCCATATCTTTTATGGGACCAACTTCTGCTGGTGAGAGAGACAAGCTTTTGTGCTACATACAAGATCAAACAGATTGTTTAGCATAAGCAGTTAGCACGTATTCTAAGGGACCATTCAAGCTAAAGCGGCCCATTAACACCCCTGTTAGAACAAAAAGGGGTGTTAGTAGGTTACAGGTTGTTGTAATAAGCCATAAATCCAGTGTCTTTATTAAGGTCATGATTTTTATTATCTAACAAAGTTATGAAATTAAGCTCCCAGGCTCGTCTTTGAAAGTGTTGGGCAGGTTTCCTTTGAGGATGAGGACTGATGAGTCAAGATATAGGGTGATTGCTTTCTGAAGTGTTCACCCATGGGCGATATGGTGTTTTTGTCTTTTATCATTTATCTTTTTTTTCTGTGAGAGTTCATCCGAGAGCATGGTGATAGCAGAGGGTACACAAGCACACAGGCCCTCCCCCTCCTCAAAAGTTGAAATCAATGCAAATTAGGCGCCTAAATACTTTCGAGGATCTTTGCCTTAGTATGTCAAGTTGTGGACCTAAAATCAGTGGCCACTTTTGAAAAAAAAATTGGGTTTAATTTCTCCATGCCTCACTTTCCCCATCTGTAAAATGGGCTAATACTTCCCTACCTCCCAGGGAACTGTGAGAATAAAGGCCCAGATCTTCAGAGGTCTCTAGTCGCCTAATGCTCATTTACATATTTGGGAAACACTCAGATACTATAATGATGGGACCTATGTAAGTACCTAGATAAACAGAATCCTTCTTCTTCATGCAAGAACTCAGGGGTCAGACAGAGACACTTTGATCAAGACAACTTGGTGCATGATCTTTAGGACCTAGCTGCTTCCAGAGCAATAGGGCTTTTGTGCAGACTTTTTTTTATAGGACTGACCTTATTGCCAACTACTACACTGTGTGGAACTGAAAAGAATGTCATTATTATTTAAGTTCCAGTAGTGTCTTGAGAAATACTGAAAAGTGGTTATATTGATATTAACTGTAGCATCGAGAGGCTCCAACCGAGATGGGGGCCTCCAGCGTGCCAGGCAGATAATCCCTGAGAAGAGCTCACACTTAAAGAGAGGAGGATGGAAGGGGGAAACTAAGGCACAGAAAGAGGTAATGCCTTTCCCAAGGCCACGCAACAAGTCAATGGCAAAGGTGGGAATAGAACCCAGAGTTCCTGGCTTGCAATCCAGTACCCCGTTCACTGGATCTCACTGCCTCTCCAAATAACAAATATGGAGTCCAATGGTTAGAGCAGGAACTTTGGAAGTCAAGACTCCCAGGTTCTACTCCTACCTATTATAATATATGCTTATGGCAGTATCCTTGACGTTGCTTTTTACAAAATCGTCTACAAGGATTTTATATAGATTGGCTAATGGAGAATACTCTAGTTCTTATAAAACATATTAAAAATCTGTTCCGTGATGTCAAAGTCTGTTTTATCCTTCACTGGTTTATTACTTAACTCCATAAAGTATAAGTGATTTCCCCCCTTATTAAATATACTGTTCAGCTTGAGTGCTCTGTTCTGTAGAGATGGTTGGAAAATTTCCAACAGAACATTTTTCTGTCCAACAATGCTGCAATAATGTATCAATTTTGATGGAAACCAGCAGGTTTCCTGCCCCTCTGTGGAGCCTCGGCAGCTCACCTAGTGAACTGCCACAGAGCCTGGGGAGACGGGACCAGAAATTTTCAACAAGTTCCATTTCAGTTCTTCACAAATGGATTTTTTTTAAATGTCCCTCTGATGGAAAATTTCCCATGTCTGACTCGTTGTTACAATACAGAAGGACATTTTTATTCAGAAATGAAAACTTTTATGTGGGAGGCAAATTCTGGTTCCCACACAGCTCCACAGTGACTTGTGGCTAGGGAAACCTAGAGATCAAATATTTGAAATAATTATTTTCTGAAAACTATAATGCAAAAATAAAGAAAGAAATGTTGTCACCTCTTCTTCTTTTTGCGGATACAGACTAACACGGCTGTTACTCTGAAAGTTGTCACCTTTGTCACCTAAGTTTGTGATACAGTCAGAATAGAATTGGGATGTGGCTGGTGCATCATTGTGGCAATTTCAAAAGTCCATACACACTGCATGTTCCCCTATCTCTGTTTCCCCACCCCGCAATTTTATTATAATCCACCCAAACAGACCTGCTGTTTCACCCTGATACATCAGGGAATGTAAGACAGAGAGATCAAGCTATGTGTTAAGGGCAGATGAAGGAGAGAAAAACTTGCCAGTCACCATAAGAAATGTCACCCTCGACAAATTAAACTGTATGACACAGTGCACGTCGCACATGCTTGCTTGTACTCCTGGAATAGGAGAGAGCTTTGTAGACAAACAAGCAAGACTAATCACTGGCTTTTAGTTACTGTCCGTAGGGGTTTGGAGAGAAGAAAGATCATTATATTTGTCTGAAGCTTCAACTTTTCCCAAGCAGACAAGTTTTGCAATGCTGCTTTCCTTTTGCTTAAAACACACGGGAGCAAAATAATTACACATGATGTTATCAGGGAAACAAAACCACTGAATTCAGCACAGATATCTGGGCAGCGAATGTGTGGAGCTTGTGGGTAACCCCCCCCCCCACACACACACTTCTTCAGATGCATGGCCATACATCTAAAGAAGTGGTTTTTTTTACCCATGAAAGCTTATGCCCAAATAAATCCGTTAGTCTTTAAGGTGCCACCAGACTCCTTGTTGTTCTAGTGAAATAGTGTTTCCTAATATCCAATCTAGACCTCCCCCACTGTGACTTGAGACCACTGCTCCTTGTTCTGTCATCTGCCACCACTGAGAACAGCCGAGCTCCATCCTTTTTGGAACCCCCCTTCAGATAGTTGAAGGCTGCTATCAAATCCCCCCTCACTCTTCTCTTCTGCAGACTAAACAAGGCC